GTGTGTGTGTGTGTGTGTGTGTGTGTGTGTGTGTGTGTGTGTGTGTGTGTGTGTGTGTGTTTGTAGGTTTGTTTGGGAGTAGAACTATTTATATATTCGTACATGTATGGTGAGTCCAAGACAGACAGACAGACAGACAGACAGACCGACTGAGAGTTTTTTCTGTTTTTGTTAAAGCAAAGAAAAGCACATCGACACGATAACGGCCACTTAGTGCAGGGAACAAGCAAGATAGACGGACGGACAGGCAGACACAATAATCAACTGGGAAAGAAAAGAGATAAGACCATCAGTGGCTCCCTGCAACCGTTCACAGACAGAAACAACAGAGGAAAAAAAAAGTAATACAACCTGCTAGTGCTAATGGACGGCGCCCTCCACCCGCCCACCCACTCAGAAGCATCATATTATTATCTTATTAAAAGCTAGAACTGGACAAGAAGACTAGAAGCAAAATGTTACAGTTAACAATCTTTATAATAAGCTTACACGTATTCATTTGTGTCACCAAAGAAACCCACAGGTTTTGTAGACCCAGAGAACTTTGCTTGCAAGGGTTCGAAGTTCAACGAATTATAATTCGAAATTGTCCAAGATGGCTATCCATTGGCAAGGAGAAAACTGGTAGCCTTAGACAGAGGACAATGTTTTTAAAAAATCGAAAGGGGAGAAGTGGAATGTGGTCTTTGGTCTTGGACGGGTGGCCGTTAGATCAGGTTTGATTCAATTCCAATATCTTCTTAAACGTCAGGAGAAAAATGTGACCGTTTTTTTATATTTTGTTGGTAAGTGTTTTACGGCGCTCGCAACTGCATAAGGTCATATATGAGCACGCGGGACACATTAAACTTTTTCAGTTGGTAGGAAATTTAGAATTTTGCCCGAGTGGCGGCCGAAGCCTATTATTATCGAATTTTAGACCACCAAGGAATTTTAACGTGCGCAACTTGCACACGTGTCCTCCAAGATTTTTCGCTCTTGTCCGAGAACGCTAGGTGTAGATCTTTCCTTCCAGAAGATCAGGGGTGTGGCTGAAAGACAGCAGCAAGAAGGAGCCAAGGAGTAACAGTAGAAAGGCTGCTGAAAGAGTCAGGAGCCAAGAAGAGGGGGCAAATGAGGTGAGGGGGGGGGGGGGGAGCAGACGAAAGCAGACGACTGAACATTTCTAGAGAGCAGGAAAGGAGGTGAAAGGAGACAATTTTAGAGAAGAACATTTTTCGGTCGCTACCCGGATTCGAACCCGGGACTTTTGAATGAGAGGCCAGCACCTTAACCTCTAGGCCACGAGAGCCCCCTGACCGTTGTTTGCTTCTCCTGAAAACATCGTATTTTGGCATACAATACTGAATGACCAAACCGTGTTTAAAAAAATGAATAAGAAGTGGTATAATAATTGCTGCAATTAAGGTGGTGTAGATGCGTTATGAAAATAAGGCCACAACAACCAGCCTGAAAGTGAAAGACCTAAAACGTGCGAATCGATGGCAACAGAGCAAAATGAAGGCCACGAAAAAAGATGGATCAATGACGTCAAAGAGACGCTTCAAAGACACAACATGACGACCCAAAAAGCAACACACTTAGGGCAACAATACATCTTCCATCGACGCCTTGCAGTGTAAGAGGACAGAAAAAGTAAACAGTAACAGTAATCTTTCTAGGCGTTTGACAGCTGTGTGCGGAGATCGATGTTTTTTTTTTTTTAATCCTTTGCCCCAGGTCACACTTGTTTCATATCTAGTCATA